AATGATCATTGATGGATGAAATGTTCTATATATGTCTGTTAAGTCTAAATTCTTGATTGTATTATTTAGTTCTGTAGTTTCTTTGTTTAATTTTTGTTTGGAATATCTATTCAATGGTGAGAGGTGTGTTAAAGTCACCCAGTGTTATTATGTTGTGGTCTCTTTGCTTCTTGAAATTGTGAAGGGTTTGTTTGATGTACATAAGTGTTCCATTGTTTGGGACATAAATATTTATGATTGTTATGTTTTGATGATATATAATTCCCTTAAGCAGTATGAAATGTCCTTCTTTATCCCTTCTGACTAACTTTGGTTTGAAATCCACTTTATCTGATATGAGGTTGGAAACCACTGCTTATTTATGTAATCCATATGAGTGGTAAGTTTTTTTCCCATCCTTTCACCTTTAGTTTGTGGATGTCTTTTCCTATGAGATGAGTCTCTTGAAGACAATGTATTATTGGGCCTTTTATTTTTAAATCTAATCTGCCAGTCTATGTCTTTTGATTAATGAGTTTTGGCCATTAACATTCAGGGTTATTACTGAGATATGATTCATACTCCCAGTCATTTTGGTTTATTTTTGGTTTTTAACTTCACTTGGTTTCTCCTTTGATTGGCTTTTCCTTAAGTGTAGTTTCTCYCTTTGCTGATTTTCTTTTCTGTTTTTTCATTTCCTCCTCATGGGAATATTTTGCTGAGAATGTTCTGTAGTGCAGGCTTTCTAGTTGTAAATTCTTTTAACTTTTGCTTATCACAGAAGGTTTTTATTTCATCACCAAATCTGAAGCTTAATTTTGCTGGTTTAAGAGTCTTGGTTGGCATCCATATTCTCTCAGAGCTTGGTATATATTGTTTTAGGACCTTCTAACTTTGAGGGCCAAGAATCAGTTTCATTTTATACACACACACACACACACACACACACACACACAATACACATATATATATACAGATATACACACACATATACATATATATTTTTTTTAGTTGTAGTCGGATGCAATACCTTTATTTTATTTATTTTTATGGGTGCTAAGGATAGAACCCAGTGCCTCACACATGCTAGGCAAGTGCTCTCCTACTGAGCCACAATCCCAGTCCCAAGAATCAGTTTTAATCATGGTTATTCAGTTCTGTTTATTAGGGTAAAGTTGTTGGGATTTTTGTTGTTGTTATTTACTGATAGTGTGTTTGGCTTTGTATTTCCATTTCCCCAATGTAGAGACTTTAATGAAATTTTAAGTAGGTACTCAATATGTATTAGTTGGATTTAATTAATTTGGTGCAACAATTCTGYTGTCACTTTGTAAGCAGTTTCCTTGTGTTTGAGCTTATTTATCTTGGTAAGAGCTAAAAAACAAGAGAGGCAGAATAACACATGCAGTATTTTGGGAGGAGTTTGTGACTCTGTTCTCTATGACCTGTACTTTCATCTTCTCATACCCTGGCTTTAATATCCTCATGCATGGTCTTCTTGTATATTACTTCTCTCTCAAGATTTTTCTTTTAAGATTTGTGACTTTCTTRTCCCATTGTCTCCCCACCCCCACCCAGTGCATTTTAATTATATAGAATAGTGSTTTCATTGTGGCATATTTGTGCATACAAATGCTATACTTTGRTCATGCCTGTCTCCTCATTACCTTCCCTTCCTTCTCTCTTGTCCCCTCCTTCCCTTGATCCCCTTCCTCTTTTTGTAATACATTGTTTCTTGCTCTGTCACTCACTCTCTGTTTGGGGGTGGGAGTGGGAGGACTAGGAATTGAACACAGGGGCACTTCACCATTGAGCTACGTCCCCAGCCAGTTTTTAAAATTTTGAGACAATGTCTCACTAAATTGCTTTTGGCCTTGCTTAATTTCTGAGCCTGGCCTCAAACTTCTGGCTCAGCCTCCTGAATCACTGAGATTACAGGTGTGTGCCATTTTTCTCTTTTTTAAATGACTGAATACATTGGACTTATAGTCCTTATTTTTTTTAATTGTTTACCAGTTTTTCTCTTAACACTTGCTTCATTTTGCCTAAAATAATTATGTTGGATAAGGGCAATTGAGAGAACATCCATGTTGTTTCATTTTTTATTCTGAAATTTCTGGTTTACAATTGTTACTAATGTTGTTAATGCTATGACCTAAAGTGGTTTTGTGTGTACACTGGAATTTAGAAGACTAAGGAAATGTAAAAGTAGGAACTCTTCTGCAGGAAAAAAATGGGTAAAACTAAAGGGAAAATAGTTTTGCGTAGGAGTATTTGAACTATCATCAAATAATAAAATCAGTAYATTCTCTTCTCAATTTGTATAATGGTCAAGTTTATAAAAGATTGTGGAGGAGAAAATTTTATATTCTATAGTTCTTTTCCATTAATTTTGAATATTAGTTTCAGAGACACATTATTAAAGTCTGATTAATATTCAATTGGTATCAGATACCTCCCCCGCCTTTTAGTTAAGTATACAGAGTGTGTAAATGGGTTATTTATGCAGCTTGGAGTCTCCGGACTTTTTTTCTAGAGCTCTGATTATTTTTATGTAGCAAATAAGTTTTAGAAGTTAGTTAGAAGTACTTACATAAGTTCTGTTAGTCGAGGGTTTTTTTTTTTTAATTATCTGTTTTTTAGTTGTAGTTGGACACAATACCTTTATTTTATTTATTTATTTTTATGTGATGCTGAGGACCAAACYCAGGGCCTTCCACGTGCTAGGTAAGCGCTCTACAACTGCCCCCACAACCCCAGCCCTCAGGTTTTTTTTAAAAAAAAGACTTATTTCCATTGTTCTTTTTTAATGTAAATAAACACATATATATGGATATCCTTTCATTGGAGATTAATAGTATATGTATATACTTATCTCCACTTTGCATTTTATATTTCTAACATGCTCTGAAGATCATTGCATAATAGTACATATGGATATTCTAATATGCCTCAATTCTTTTTTAATAACTACATAGTATTTTCTAGTATAGTATTTTATTCATTTAATTCCCTATTGTTTGACATTTGGGTTGATTCTAGGATTTTGCTATGATATCTAGTCTATAATACATAACATCTTTGCACATTTTTTGTCACAATATTAAATAATCACTTTGTAGGGTTTTTTCTTTATCTACTTTTTCTATATGCTTTTTATATTTTCTTTTTCTTATCTGTTYTCAACTTTTTTTCCTGTCTCGTGTTGTGTGATTCCACAATGACATAGAGAAAAATATATGTGATTTTATGTGTGTATGTATTAATTTGTATATCAGGGATGTTTTTCTTCCACTTCTTAATAGCTAATGAAATTTTCTATTCTTAAGTTAACACCTGATGAGTAGAATCACGTAGTTGAAATCAAATTCTGCTCCAATTCGCTATTCATAGTTCCTGCCAATTAAAATTTTACTTAAGTCATTAGAAATAGCTGTGTTACTGTTACTATACATACTCAGAACCCCAGTCTTTCTGTGTAAATACTGAATATTTGGAATCCCGTGGAGCATTTGCTTTTATTTATTTTTTGTTTTTCTTCTTGTGATACTCAGGATTGAATCCTGAATTGCTCTGAGCTTCATCCCCATCCCTTTAATTTTTTTTTTTTTTGTGGGGGGGGGGGACAAGTTCTCACTAAATTGTCAAGGCTGGCCTCAAATTTGCAGCCCTTCTGCTTTAGCCTCCTGAGTTGCTGAGATTAGTCTGGCATATGATTGTATTTGTGGATTCCATACTCTGAATCACTTTTTTAAAAAAAACGAATATTATATCAGAAAGGGTATTAACAAGCAACAGACAAACTCCAATAAGAGAATATTGAGTAGTTTACAGAATTGCTTGTAAGTTCAGAGAGTCAAAATCAGAAAGCAAGCTGTTTGGCCAGGAACAATGACCAAAACTATGCCCTTTTGGTCTAGTCAAGTACACCACTGCCCGTGAGCACTAAATGTTATAGCTTGCACTGCCCACAATATTGGCTGTCGCTACCTTCACACTTGATAATGCTACAACTCCACTATACTGAGAAGAGTGAAAAACTCAATATTTGGAAATATTAGAGAAAATAATCATGTTGGTGGTATATAATAAGTCCTGGGGAGTGCAGAATAATAAGTAAAACTAGCCAGGCACAGGATGCATGCCTAGAATCCCAACTACTCAGAAGGCTGAAGTAGGAGAATCACAAGTTTAGGCCCACCTTGTCAAGTTAGCAAGACACCATTTTAAAGAAAAGGTGCAGGGGAGAGGGAAGACTGCAGGTGTGTAGCTCAGTGGTAAAGTGCCCCTAGGTCTGATCCCCAAAACAGAAAGCAAAACAAAACAAAAAATGAAACCTCTAAAATATAATTCATATATCTATTTAGTTTCTATATATCTACTTATCAGGTCTTCTCAATTTATAATATTATTTCTTTCACTGAAAGAAAACAAATAAACAAGGATATTGCTATTAAATCCTCCCTATTTTTGAATCCCTATTCTTTCCTCAGGCTATTTTGCACATTACATGGGACATTAACTGTGTGACAAGACTGTATATTAATATTAATATGTTGTCAATGTATATATTAATATTAGTAAAGCTCAATTTCTTTTTAATATTTTTCTTACTCCAGTGATCATCTTCTGTACCCCATGGGTTGTGTGTATCCACTTTTGGAGACATCTCCTCTCTCCTGTATGTTTCTTGTCATTAGGATTATATGCACTATTAGAGTGCTTTGAAAAATCTTGGAATTGTCAAAAAAGAAAATTAATCTGATAATTTATAAGCTTAAATGTATAAATAGTAAGGAAGAATTTTCATTAATGTTAAAAAACTATATAGATGTTGAGATTTTTATATTTTGTTTTGGAGGCCGGACCTTCATTTCTAGGTACATACCCATAACAAGTTCCTTTAACCAACATCAGGTCTGTCCAGCATCCCAAAAGAAGCCTGAGTTTCTCACCCTGTAAAATTGTGTCAGTTGTCACATTAGGTAATTTCTGTTCTCTTTCTGCTTTATTTTCTGCAGCTGGTGTAACCTTAAAAACAGACTGCCTTGAAGATAGCCGCCTTACATGCTACTGGGGGTGCAGTGTCCAAAAATTATATGAAGCTCTGCAGAAGCACGTTTATTGCTTCAGAATAAGCACTCCCCAAGCATTAGAAGATGCTCTGTATAGTGAATATCTCTACCAAGAACAGTATTTGTATCCTTTTATCTGATAACCCATTAGCACATGAAAATTAGACTTTTTATGGATACAATAAAATGTGGCTACGTTGTTGATCGTTTTTGATATATTTTTAATCTTTTGGCTATAGTGGCAATTTGCCTTTACATTTTCAAAAAGTATTAAAAAGGACAGCAAAGAAGAAATATATTGCCAGTTACCAAGAGATAATAAAATTGAAGACTTTGGTTCAGTGCCCAGATCTCGTTATCCATTGGTAGCGCTGTTGACCTTAGCTCATGAGGATGACCGAGAAATTTATGATATTGTAAGTAATTTCAAAATTCTGAAAGCATTACCTCTAAGTGATTTGGATGATGGTTCTTAATTATTTGGTAAAATAAAAGAATGTTGATTTTAATTTCTGCGGATATGTATTTGGCCTGGACTCATTTTCTTAAAAAATGAAAACATGGGATGTATACCTGTACAATTTTTATACATATAATAGCACCCTCAGAGTATGATTTTTTTCCCTTTTAGTCACAAGAATATGATTGTATTTAGGAAATAAATTATTATTAAGTTAATCTCATCACTCTGTATTCTGTCATGTTTACCATATCAAAAAGCCTGTTGGGATACATGTCCATTCTTAACATTTTTAATACTGAACAAATAAGCATTGAAATGATCTAAAGCAYWMATWTTTTTTTTCYTTTTGGGTACCCAGGRGTCTTTAACCACTGAATCACATCTCCAGCTCTTTTTATTTTTTATTTTGAGACAGGGTCTGACTAAGTTGCTTAGGGAGTCACTAAATTGCTKAAGCTGACCTTGAATTTGTGATCCTCCTCCCTCAGCCTCCTGAGCCACTGGGATTACAGGAGTGCACCACCATGCCCAGCTTGAAGTGCTTAATTTTTAGAGAGTCTCCGTTCTTTCTTTGGTAGTTGCAGTCACCTCACCTTATTTTCATTAGAGTCCCTGTATCTACATCTGATTCCTATATTTTTAGTAACTACAGTAACCTTGTTTTCTCATTAGTGTTAAATTATTTCTTCAGTCTGGTAGTTTATCTCTATTTAGGAACATAAAACATCTTAAAGATCAAAACATCTTAAACATCTTAAAGATTGAGCCTTGACAATCCTTTAAGTATGATAGAAAACTACACAGTTTGAACATTCCTAATCTCAAAATCCAAAATGAATCAAATCTGAAAATTTTTGAGCAGGGACATGTTGCCACAAGTGTAAAATTTTACAYCTGACTTCATATAACTGGTCAAAAGCATGCATATTAAAAATATTGTATAAAATTATCTTCAGGCTATATGTATAAGGTATATTTAAACATAAATGAATTCCTTAGTTAGACTTTGGTCGCATCCCAAAGTCTCATTGTGTATTTACAAACATTCCCAAATCTGAAAAAAACCCAAAATTCGAAATTCTTCTTGTCACAACATTTGGGATAAGGGATCCTCAACCTATACATGAAATAAATTTTGGTGAAATTGGATCATGGTGATATTGCCCTTACAGTTTACTACTTTTCTGAATTGTTTGATGTTTATTAATAAAGATGTAGTAACATTTAAAAGAATTTTTTCAAGTTGTAGATGGACCTTTATTTTATTCATTTATTTATATGTGGTGCTAAGAGTTGAACCCAGTGCCTCACACATGTTAGGCAAGCACTGTACCACTGAGCCATATCCCAGCCCCTATAGTAATATTTTTGATGATACTTTTGTAATATAAAAATACTTTCACAAAAATTACTTTTCTTTCTAATAACTTGTGTATTAGGCAGGGCAGATATCCTTGTACAGACTTAACAGAGTCACGAAAAATTCCAGTTGATACCCTTTATACTCCCTATCCCACAGCCACCCCCACTTGCTGGGAACTGAACCTAGGGACCTATATATATGCTAGGCAAGCACTCTACTACTGAGCTACATCCTATTCCCTATCTTAAAAAAAAAAAAAAAAAAAAAAGGAATAGCTTCCTGAAATAAAAATGCATTGAACTTTGGAAACTACGGACTGTTATTGGAACATGTGGCTCTGATCATTTGCTGTTAAGTCTCTAATTTTTTTTTTTTTTTAATATTGTCAAACTGAAGCTCTGTTGAGGTGAAGTCAGCCTCCCTCATTTAAGTCATGGAGTAGGGAGGGAGGAAATGAGATTTAGGTCAAACAGTTGCAGGTATGTAGGATGAACAAATCTAGAGATCTAATGTATACTACGGTAATAATATATTTAGGGATTTTTGCTAAAATATTAAGTATTTTGACACAGGAAAAGGAGGGGTACCTGAAATGATGAATATGTTAATTTGCTTGACTCTAGTAGCCACTTTATTATGTRTATACATATCAAAACATGTTATATACCTTAAATATGTAAATTTTAAAAAATCATATCCACAGTAGTGTATTTCCAGAACCTAGTGCAGTGCCTAGATTCTCAATAAAGGTTCAGTAAGTGGGGTAGTGGGGGTACTTCATACCAGGTAGTGTTAGTGAACCTTCCAGACCTTGATGGCAAAATACCTTAGTTGCCTATGTATAAGTAGTATATGTGAGAGATCTGGTTTTCTTTCTCTGTCCTTGCTTTTTCAATTGCAGATAAATCAAGACCTGTTAAATTTGTGCTACATATTTCCAGTCTCTTCCTTCTTTAGGTAACCCTTATCTCACCATTGTGTTACTCACCTTTTCTGAGTTCCTTGGGTTTGGGTTCCATAATTTTTCCATTTATTCAAAACAAAAGGACCTGATCTCAGTCATTTTGCTTCCCAACTTCCCCTGGGCTTCCTTTCCCCTGACTGACTGCTCTTTTTTTATTTCAGGTGCTCAGGTTTTCCTTCTTTGTTTTGTAACTTACTTTCTCCATCTGAGCAGGGAAAGATTTTGTGTRTGTGGCAAAATGTATATAATAGAAAATTTACTATTTTAATCATTTTTAAGTGTACAATTTAATGGCATATAAACAAAGAAGAATTTATCATCAGGTTCCCTGATCCAAATGGAATGAAAAATTTGGCCTCGCTGTAGTTGTGGAGGCTTCTCTCCACAGGGTAGCCAGGATGCCTGGCTYCTGGGGGTGAGCAGACATTTTATCTGTTGTGAATGTCTCCCTGTCTGGGTCATTTGTGTGTCTTTTAATGTCTGTGAGCTCTGTCCCCTTTTTCCACCTATTGTTTTCCTTCTCCTTATCTCAGTTTGAGTCTAGTATTGGCATTAAACCATACTTGTTTGTATAGTTCATGTTAATATTCTCTGTTCTTAATTTTAAAAGCAAGGGAATTATTTCATATTTGTTTTTCATGTGGGATTTTTTTAGGGTCATAGAGTCTAAATAAAAGCCAAAAAAAAAAAAAAAAACCACACACACAATTCTCCCTTTCGCATTATAATAGGAAAGAATTGCTTTTATATGGTATAGTTAGGAACCAGCTTTTTGTTTTAAGCAATTAAACAAAAACAAGAATTATTCCTGTAAGATTTTGAAAATGTTAAATTTTACTGAATTACATTAGGGTTTATTTCTGTAATATTCAAATAACATGATGTGGCAGAAAAAAATTCACAGCTAGGAGGAAAGTGTAACCAACTATGTTCTGTCATCCAAAGATAACAACTGTGAATATATGCTCTATCTCCCCAGATTTTCACATATTTACTTTTCTAAAGAAAAGGATCAAGTCGTACATTCTATTTTAACTTGTTTTTATTTAATAATATATCTCAATATCTTTTYCATATCCTTTTAAGCCTGTAAAGAATATTTTGTTAGGGGCTCAGTGGCAGAGCACTTGCCTAGTGTGTGTGAGGCACTAGGTTCAATTCTCAACACCACATATAAATAAATAAAATAAAGGTCCATTGGCAATTTAATATATATATTGTGTTTTTACATTCACATATATATTAATTTTTACATTCACATATATATATATATTGTGTTTTTACATTCACAGCAGGCTTTTAAAAGCTTTTTATTGATACATAATTTCAAAAAGTTACAAAAATAAAAAGTAAAAGAATACCCATATACTTTTCTCCAGATCATCTATGGTTAACTTTTCTTTCATCCAGATCATTAAGTCGATCTTATATGTGTAAATTTCATGTAGTCATGATATATTATCATATATTTTTTAAATGATTTGAGCGCAAGTTGCATGCATGATGACTCTTTATCCTTAAATATTTCTGTGTGTATTTCTTGACATTAGGATGTTCTGGTCTTTGTTTATTTGGTTGGTTGGTTTTTGTTTGTTTGTTTCGGTAATGAGGATCGAACCCAGAGACTTACACTGAGCTACATCCCCAGCCCTTTTTTATTTTTTTTTAAATTTTGAGACAGGGTCTCACTAAGTTGCTTAGGTAGGGCCTTGTTAAGTTGTTTAGACTTCTTTTTTAATTTAATTTAAAAAATTTATTCTAATTATTTGTACATGACAGAATACATTTATGCACTTTGATAAATCATACATAAATGGAGCATAATTTTTCATTCTGATTGTACATGTTGTCAAATCACACTGGTCATGCAGTCTTATTATGTACATAAGGTAATAATGTTTGTTTCATTCTACTATTGTCACAAGACTGGCTTTTGAACTCACAATCTTTCTGCTTCAGCTCCCCCAGTTGCTGGGATTACAGGTGTGTGCCACCACATATGGCTTAAGAATGTTCTCTTATATAACCATAGTACAGTTACCAACTTTATAAATGTGACGTTGACATAATATTTTATCCAACCTATTTCTCAGTTGATCTAATAGTCCAACTTCTAGTCTAAATCTAGAGTTTTTTCTTTATTATATATTTTTAGCCTCCTTTCACCTGGAACATTTCCACAGCCTTGCTTTGTTTTTAGCATTTTTGAAGAATTCAGTGCATTTTTGAGGAATAGTTGCATGCACACACCCTTTTTATAAGCAGAGCATTCTCATGTTTTTCTAACATTTCCTCATGGTTGGATCAGAGTTGTGCACTGGCAGCTAATGAACTGCCTAAGTGATGAATCTTCCTTTTCAGGCCATAGCCTCTAGAAGAATGCAGTGTGTTTTCTCTCATTGGTGATGTTAGTTTTGATCTTTCAAAAGGTATTATCTAATTTCTCCATTGTTCTGGGTTTGTTCTCCCTTGATCTGTGAAGAGGCAGTTTAGCTCTCATGAGGGTATTTTTGTGTGCAGAATGTTTCAAATTGATATTTATATGGTGATAATCACTGGAGAGTCCTAGTCTTCTGCTGGAGACACTTTAAGACCATGTAAATATTCTGCTTTTATCAAAAATTTC